CCTCCTACAGATCCTGTGCCTTTCTGTGCACCCCCTCGTCTCTGAATTCCCCCCAAGTCTCTGCATTCAGCAGAATTAGGCAGCTGACTCCAGCCCTACTCTAATCCTCCTCCAGACTCTGCACTTTCTGGTTCTCAGCTCTGCCCCCAGCTTTTTCCCAGCAGCAACCCAAGGTCAGAGGGGTGGACTGCGTGTGATGTAACGGAGGGTGGGGAACTCTTGAATTCTGACGGTGGTGGGGGGTTCTTGACATTTGATGTAAGGGGGGGGGGTGGCATGCTCTGATCATCTAGTCTTACAGATACAACTAGCCCTTTGAGGGCAACCATAATGCTGATGTTGGCCCACGATGAAATTGAGTTTGACACCCCTGGCCTAACACACTATACTGCCCCAAGTATTGAGCCACACATGACCTTTAATGGCCTCCCAGTCTTAGTCCGTAGGGTTCAATATTGATCGGCTGGCCTTTCCACGCACATGACCTTTAATGGCCCCCCCAGTCTTAGTCCGTAGGGTTCAATATTGAGTTGGCCCCGCCCTTTGCAGCTATAACAGCTTCAACTCTTCTGGGAAGGCCATCCACAAGGTTTAGGAGGGTGTCTATGGGAAGGTTGGACCATTCTTCCAGAAGCACATTTGTCAGGTCAGGCACTGATGTCGGGGGAGGAGGCCTGGCTCGCAGTCTCCGCTCTAATTCATCCCAAAGGTGTTCTGTGGGGTTGAGGTCAGTACTCTGTGCAGGCCAGTCAAGTTCCTCCACCCCAAACTGACTCCTCCATGTCTTTATGGACCTTGCTTTGTGCACTGGTGCGCAGTCATGTTGGAACAGGAAGGGGCCATCCCCAAACTCCTCCCAAAAAGTTGGGAGCATGAAATTGTCCAAGATGTCACCTTAAGAGTTCCCTTCACTGGAACTAGGGGGCCAAGCCCAACCCCTGAAAAACAAGGTGGTGATCTCACTTCTATCCAGACAGGAAGTTTCTATTTAAGACAAGAAGTGATGTCAGATACAGACAGGAAGTGATGTCAGATACAGACAGGAAGTGATGTCAGGTATAAATAGGAAGTTTGGCATGGGCAGCGAGTCAGAGAAAGTAGAGAGGAGACATTGCTGAAACTGGCAGAAGAGGAGGTAATAAGATCTGATTTTATATTTGCATAGACTGGGGTAGGGAGTTCCAGAGGATCTGTGAGGCTGTAGAGCAAACTCAAAGGTGAGCATGGGAGGAGGTGATGGGGGAGATGGAGAGCAGAAGGTTATTGGAGGAGCGGAGATGATGGTTTGGGTGATATATTGAGACAAAGTTGGTGTTGTATCTCAGGACAGAGCGATGGATGGCTTTGTATGTTATTGTTAGTATTTTGAATTAGTGGAAGCCAGTGGAGGGGTGGAGGATACGGAATGGAGGTCAGTGGAGGGATTGGCAGATTGGGGTGGAGGATACAGAATGGAGGTCAGTGGAGGGATTGGCAGAGAGGGGTGGAGGACACTGAATGGAAGCCAGAGGAAGGATTGGCAGAGAGGGGTGGAGGACACTGAATGGAAGTCAGTGGAGGGATTGGCAGAGAGGGGTGGAGGACACTGAATGGAACAGTGGAGGGATTGGCAGAGAGGGGTGGAGGACACTGAATGGAGGCCAGTGGAGGGATTGGCAGAGAGGGGTGGAGGACACTGAATGGAGGCCAGTGGAGGGATTGGCAGAGAGGGGTGGAGGACACTGAATGGAGGCCAGTGGAGGGATTGACAGAGAGGGGTGGAGGACACTGAATGGAGGCCAGTAAAGGGGACAGGATGAATGGAGGCCAGTCTAAGGATTGGCAGAGAGGGGTGGAGGATATGGAATGGAGGTCAGTAAAGGGATTGGCAGAAAGGGTGGAGGACACTGAATGGAAGCCAGAGGAGGGATTGGCAGAGAGGGGTGGAGGACACTGAATGGAAGCCAGTGGAAGGATTGGCAGAGAGGGGTGGAGGACACTGAATGGAAGTCAGTGGAGGAATTGGCAGAGAGGGGTTGAGGACACTGAATGGAGGCCAGTGAAGGGATTGGTAGAGAGGGGTGGAGGACACTGAGCGGTTGGTAAGGTGGATGAGTCTGGTAGAAGCATTCATGATGGACTGAAGCGGCCAATAGAAGGAAGTTTCAGTAGTCAAGATGGGAGATAAGCTGGGAGTGAATGAGTTGCTTTGAGGTGTCATTGGATAAGAAGGACGTATTTTGTGTGGAGAAGATGGGTGCAGGAATGGGAGTTTAGGGAGAGAAGACACTATAGGGGAGAGATTGGTGGAGGGAACATATTACAGAGAGGAAAGAGGAGTAGTCAGTCTGGCAGGAGCGTTTGTCAGTAGAGGCCGTCTTGTTTGTGCCGAGTTTGAAACTGATAGACATAAATGGAATCTTTTTTAGCAGCAGATTAAATACTTATAAACAGCCCAAAACGCAATAGATTTTACATATGAAATGGAATTTCTAATCCAGCAGCCCAAAGGGTAAGAGAGTCCCAGACCCCCAAAACAGAAAAACCCTAAACTGAATGTTCCTCTGTGTGTAATCCCACTGGCGACCGTTCTTCCATGATAGAGACCCTCATATCATCCCCCCTCCCCCCATCCTAATATTGTACAACCAGTACAGTCCAGATCATTCTCGGTTATCAATTATTGGTCTACAGGAAACCTGTATAGATCACATGACCAATGAGGATGGAGGAGGACCGGAGTCACATGACTGAGAGGATACTAAACCTCACCCTGAAGATCATTTACCTGCTGACCGGAGAGGTGAGGAGGATTCTGGGAGGTCACATGTCATCACTCTGGTCTAGTCTGGCCAATAGACCATGTTCTTCTTGTAGACATGTAGATGATGTCAGATGATTGATATCGGTTTCTCTTTCTCCTAATCTGTAGGATTATGTTGCAGTGAAGAAGTCTAGTGGGGAGCCAATCTCAGGAGGATGGAGCAGGACCCAGAGCCCCACCATGGTGCCTCCCCCTCGTTCTCCCATACCTGAGAGGAACAAAGAGCAGAAGATCCTGGAACTGACCACCATGATAGTCCATCTGCTGACAGGAGAGGCGAGTGGTGCCGGGAATTCGGGGACATTCTCCAGTAACAGACAAGGGATGTGTCTGGATGGTGACTGTATCATTGTGTGTGTGTCAGGTTCCTGTAAGGTGTCAGGGTGTCACTGTCTATTTCTCCATGGAGGAGTGGGAGTATTTAGAAGGACACAAGGACCTCTACAAGGACATCATGATGGACAATCAGCTGCCCCTCACATCACCGGGTAAGAGGAGACTTTATTGGAAAGGAGAGAGCAGTACGGAGGCTCCACCTAGATCCCCCATCATCTGATAAACACATAGAAACAATGGATTCAGTCCGTGTGTGTGTTTCCTACAGATGGATCCAGTCATGGGAACCCACCAGAGAGATGTCCCCGTCCTCTGTATTCCCGGGATTCCACACAAGAAGGTCACACATTCCCTCACCATCATCAGGTAGGTGGAGTTGAGGGTCGGGGACATGAAGGGATGGAACACTCTGACATGTGGAGACGATGTGTGGACTCTACAAGATGAGATGTTCTATGTGATCTCACATCATAAATCCTTGTATGTTACAGATGTTATTTTCTGCCATTCTGTTGGTTTAGGGTGAAGATCTGATGAACATGAAAGTTGAGGGTGAAGTAGAAGAGACGTATGTGAGGGATGATCAGCAATATACGGAGGAGGCTGGAATGAGGAGGACATTCATAGAGGAGGACACTCCTACAGAGATCAGCACAGGTAACCAGAATATATTCTTCTCTTCTCTCTGCTCTGTTACCCCCCCCCCAGCCCCCATTGGTTCCTGCTCCTCTGACAAGGCGGTGTAAATGTAGAAGTGATCTGGGAGGAGAAAAGGCCCTTTGACTGAAGAGGGGAAGAGTCCCAGCTGGTTGGGACATCCACAGAGAACATCTGCTCCCTCCTATCTCCCTGATCCAGATGGAATCTTGATGGAAGTGAACTAATCCTCTCCATTGAGGGTCTTTCCAGGACCCTCCATGGAGAAACCCTCAAAGGATCGTCTCACTTTATCTCCAGGTTTTAAAATGGAAGATGAGGACATCACAGGAGATCACATGGAGGAACATTCACCAAAGTCCTGTCCTTCTAAACATCAGAGATGTCACACGGGTAAGAAGAAACATGCCTGCCCCGAGTGCGAGAAGAGTTTTCCACGGAGATATGAGTTTGTTTTACATCAAAGAACTCACACGGGGGAGAAGCCATATTCCTGTCCTGAGTGTGGGAAATGTTTTGCAGTAAAATCAAATCTTGAAAAACATCAAAGAACTCACATAGGGGAGAAGGCATTTTCTTGCCCTGAGTGTGGGAAATGTTTTTCACAGAAGGCCCATCTTCTTACACATCAGAGGTCTCACACAGGTGAAAAGCCAGATCCTTGTCCTGAGTGTGGAACATGTTTCTCAGAAAAATCAGACCTTGTAAAACATCATAGAATTCACATGGGTGAGAAGGCATATTGTTGCCCTGAGTGCGGGAAATGTTTTTCTCTCAAATCCTATCTTAACAATCATCTGATGTCTCACACAGGTGAGAAACCGCATTCCTGTTCTGAGTGTGGAAAATGTTTTAGAGAAAAAAAAGGCCTTGGAAACCATCAAAGAACTCACACGGGTGAGAAGATTTATTCCTGCCCTGAGTGCGGTAAATGTTTTTTTACAGAAGAACCATCTAATTACACATGAAAGGATTCACACAGGAGAAAAGCCGTACTCCTGCCCCGAGTGTAGAAAATGTTTTATACAAAAAGCAGGCCTTCTACAACATCAGACAACTCATACGGGTGAGAAGGCATATTCCTGGCCTGAGTGCGGGAAATGTTTTTCATAGAATGCCCATCTTACACTACATCGGAGAATTCACACGGGTGAAAAGCCGTATCCCTGTTCTGAGTGCGAGAAATGTTTTTTACAGAATTCAGACCTTGTTAAACATCAAAGATCTCACACAGGGGAGAAGCCGTATTCCTGCCCCGAGTGCGGGAAATGTTTTTCACGGAATTCCCATCTTAATGTACATCGGAGAAGTCACACGGGTGAAAAGCCGTATTCCTGCCCTGAGTGCGTGAAATGTTTTTCACAGAAATCGGACCTTGTTAAACATCAAAGATCTCACACGGGGGAGAAGCCATATTCCTGCCCAAAGTGCGGGAAATGTTTTTTACAGAATTCAGACCTTGTTAATCATGAAAGATCTCACACAGGGGAGAAGCCGTATTCCTGCCCTGAGTGTGGGAAATGTTTTTTTCACGGAATTCCCATCTTAATGTACATCAGAGAAGTCACACAGGGGAGAAGCCATATTCCTGCCCAGACTGCGAGAAATGTTTTTCACTCAAGAACGATTTTAACAAACATTGTTGTTCTCCCACAGGTGAGTAGACGCATGGCTTCTTAGTGTAGAAAATGTCCTTCATGAAGGTCCAATCTTACTGAACATCAGATATGCTACACAGGGGGAAAGCTGTTGTTCTGCCCTCTGTGTGGGAAATTTTCATTTGCAAAAATCAGACAAGCATCAGCAATCTCAGAAGCTGTATTGCTATCCTGAGTGCGGGAAATGTTTTTCATGGTTTTGTCTTACCAAACATCAGAGAACCCATACAACCCTCGAGGTGCATTAGTGTCCTGAGTGCGGGAAATGTCTTCTCTATGGATGATATGTTGCCGTACATCAGAGATCTCACACTGAGAAGAAGCACACCTTGATATACACCTCAGAAAACACGTGTCTGAGCGCTCCTCTGATCTTTGTCATGAAAGAAACACTTTATAAGGAGATCAGAGATCACTAAAGATTTCAACGTTGTGTCTGGCTTCCTCTGCTAGGAGAGAGGAGGGGGAGGGGGGGTCACTGCTGGTTTGGTCCCTTTAGCAGTGTAGTCTGATCTCCCCTGACCTTCAGCAGAAGCTTCCATGGAGGACATCATGGTGAGAGATAAGGAGGGAGGGGGGGGGGGGTTACTGCTGGTTGGGTCCCCCTAGCCGTGTAGTCTGTTCTCCCCTGACCTTCAGCTGTAGGTTCATAGGAAGACCTTATGGTGATAGATATGGAGGAGAGAGAAGGGGAGATCAGACTACATTGCAAGCCTGAGAATTTCTGTGCAGTAGTCATCAGCCTGCACAGGCAGCTTCATTTGCTTGAAGAGCTCCACCTGCTCTGCTTGCGGGAAGTAGAAATGATGACATTACCAGATGTTACGTGTTATTATTGTTTGATTACAAAATGCAAATATAATCTTGGTCTTGTGTCTTTTAGTAGTTTTTTGTTACCAGCTTGTACTTGTTAGAACAACTGACTTTCCCTCTTTTCATAAATCTCATGACGTCTGCAGTATACTCCAATTATAAATTCATTACTATATATGCTTTTACTGAACTAGCTGGTCCACGGTTTCCTCAATGAACAGGACTCCCTGCATTAAGATTGCTGAGTATATAAACTATGTTCACAGAAAAAAAAACAATACGAGGCATATGGAGTAATATAAATATGAATACATGCACACATTCATATGATATCTATCCTTTACTAGCTGAAAATTAACAATCTCCGATCTCAATAGGGATACACTAAAAGATACTTAACTCCTGTTATACCTGGTCCACGATTTCCCTAATGAACAGGGCTTACAGTATTAAAATTGCTGTGTATAAAAACTATTTACATTCACAGGAAAGAACACTACAGGGAATATGGAATCATATAAATATGCATGCATGCACACATTCAAATGCTATCTATCCTTTACTAGCTGAAGAAAATTAACAATATCCGATCCCAACAGAGATACACTAAAAGTCACTTATCATCTCTACACAACAGAGATACGCTGAAAGTCATTTAACTTCTGTTATACCTGGTCCACAATTTCCCTAATGAACAGGACTCCCAGGATTAAGATTGCTGTGTATACAAACTGTTTACATTGACAGAAATAAAACAATACAAGGCATATGGAGTAATATAAACATGCATACATGCACACATTCACATGATATCTACCCTTTACTAGCTGAAGAAAATTAACAATCTCCGATCTCAACAGGGATACACTAAAAGTCACTTAGCATCTGTTATAGCTGGTCCACAATTTCCTTCATGAACAGGACTTCCAGCATTAAGATTGCTGTGTATACAAACTATTTATGTTCACAGAAAAAAACAATACGAGGCATATGGAGTAATATAAATATAAATACATGCTCACATTCACATGCTATCTACTGTTTCCTTTTTTTTCATTGCTTAATAAACTATCAGTCTGTGATCTCAACAGCAATACACTAAAAGTCACTTAGCATCTGTCAGGGCTCCAGGTATGACCAGAGGTATGTGAACTGACGCAGGGAAACGCAGGCTTCAGATATGTTATAAACAGTATAATTTATTAATACTAACAATACAAAACGCAGTGCAATACTAAAAACATAAACACAGTGCAAACGAACCAAACCCAACCACCCCCCAGATAACAATACATACAATGCAAGCGTAGTCAGGCAGGCCGGGTCAATAACAATTGGGCAGGTAGGAACAGGAGGAGCAGGCAGAGAGTAGTCAGGTCACGAGCCGGGTACAGCAACTAATGGGCAGGTAGGTACACAGGGGTCAGGCAGAGAATGGTCGGGGTCACAAGCCAGGGATCAAACAGGAGAAGACAGCAGAGGTCAGGATCAGGCAGGGTAGGCAACGAGTAAGTCAGGCAGGAACAGGAATGCAGGTAACAAGATACAGGGGCCCATGGAAAAACAAACACCAAGGCCCAGACTGCAGGTCTGGCCATCCCTTAAATACACCTCCGTAATCAGCTTCAGGTGTTTGGCTGACTGCAGGGTTGAGTCTCTGATTGGTGAGAGCACCCGCTGGCCAACCCTGGTACTGCAGCCCACAAGGCAGGTGAGTCCCACCATTATTGGCAAGTCCATTCCTGACAGTACCCCCCCCCCTCAAGGAGAGGCCTCAGGACGCTCCAAACAGTCCTAGCTGGGTAAAATGTTCCACCGCCCGGGTCTGGTAACTGGCGGGATATCAAAGACTGGCACATCGGGCTGGACTCCGGGCAGAGGCACATCGGGCTGGACTCCGGGCAGAGGCACATCGGGCTGGACACCGGGCAGAGACACATCGGGCTGGACTCCGGGCAGAGGCACATCGGGCTGGACTCCGGGCAGAGGCACATCGGGCTGGACACCAGATCACCAGGCGGAGCAGCAGGCACCGGGCCACCAGGCAGAGCAGCAGGCACCAGAGCAGCAGGCACCGGATCACCAGGCGGGGCAGCAGGCACCGGGCCACCAGGCGGAGCAGCAGGCACCGGGCCCCCAGGCGGAGTGGCAGGCACCGGGGGCCACCAGGTGGAGCGGCGGGCACCGGGCCCCCAGGCGGAGAGGCGGGCACCGGGCCCCCAGGCGGAGCGGCGGGCGCCGGGGCCCCCAGGCGGGAGCGGCGGGCGCCGGGCCCCCAGGAGGGGCGGCGGGCGCCGGGCCCCCAGGAGGGGCGGCAGGCGCCGGCCCCCAGGCGGAGCGACAGGCACCGGGCCCCCAGGCGGAGCGACAGGCACCGGGCCCCCAGGCGGAGCGACAGGAATCGGGCCCCCAGGCGGAGCGGCGGGCGCCGGGCCCCCAGGCAGGGCGGCGGGCACCGGGCCCTCAGGCGGAGCGGGAGGCACCGGGCCCCCAGGAGGAGCGGCGGGCACCGGGTCATCAGGCACGACTGCGGGCATTGGGTCACCATCCATCAGGTCATTTGGCTCGCCAGCGGGCACCGCGTCATCTGGTAAGGCAGTGGGCACCGAGTCACCAGGCACGACAGTGGGCTCCGAGTCAACTGGCATGACCGCGGGCACTGGGTCAGACATTGGATCGTCTGGCTCGACAGCGGACATCGGGTCACCAGGCATCAGGTAATTTGGCTTGACAGCAGGCACCGCGTCATCTGGCAAGGCAGTGGGCACCGAGTCACCAGGCACGACAGTGGGCTCTGAGGCAATTGGCACGACAGCGGGCACCGGGTCATCAGGTACCAGATCGTCTGGCTCGACAGCAGGCACTGGGTCATCTGGCGCTGGATCGTCTGGCTCGACAGCGGGCATTGGGTCACCAGGCATGACAGCGGGCACTGGGTTATCAGGCATTGGATCGTCTGGCTCGACAGCTGGGCATCGGGTCACCAGGCATGACAGCGGGCACCGGGTCATCGGGTACCGGATCGTCTGGATCGACAGCGGGGCACCGGGTCATCTGGCGTTGGATCGTCTGGCTCGACAGCGGGCATTGGGTCACCAGGCATGACAGCGGGCACTGGGTCATCAGGCATTGGATCGTCTGGCTCGACAGCGGGCATCGGGTCACCAGGTTTGACAGCGGGCACTGGGTCATCAGGCATTGGATCGTCTGGCTCGACAGCGGGCATCGGGTCACCAGGTATGACAGCGGGCACTGGGTCATCAGGCGTGATAGGATCATCAGGCTGGATCAGTTCATCAGGCTGGGTACAGACATCAGGCTGAAGTGCGGGTGCCGAGGCACCAGGCTGAACCACGGAAGGCAGGTTCTCAGACGGCAGGCTCACCGGTTTGGATACTGGCAGGATGGTACTGGTTGGAAAGAATTTTTCGCTTTTTTTCTGGTTTTAACTACTGGAGCACTGTAAGTAAACGCAGGTCTGCAAACAAATGGAGCAGCTGAGGACAGAGAAGAGCTGGAAGGTGGAACAGAGGCGGGAGCAGCCGCCACAGCGGACCTCTCCACAGGGCCAAAGAAAGGATAGGTGCAGCGAGTGGGAGCCGGGGACTGGTATGTGGTAGTTAGCAGAGTATACTGGGCCGTCACTGGGGGTGCTGTCGGGGATGCAGGAAGAGTGCCTTGAGCAGAGGAATGACGTTGCAAGCTGACTGAGGCTGGGTGCAACAAGTCTGACCATGTCTGCAGTATGGGTTGAACAAAGTTGAGCTTACACAAAGCCTGTCTGGTCAAAGACTGCACTGCGTTTATACAATCCCTTAATACCTGTGGTGAACATGCAGCATAATGCTCCAAGAAGCAATCCACATCATCCTCTAATAACCATACCAGGACTCTACCTGGTCTGCACTAAATGGTGGCAAAAAAGTCATTCCTGCTTTCAGGGGTACCAGATGAAGCCAACTCTACACAAACCTGAATCAAAGGTTGCACCTCAGAGAA